TTTTCCAAGGAGACTATTTTGAAGGAGATGGCAGCCAAAATTGACTGAGTTCAGCCACTTACTCCGGGAACTTTCCGATACACTTCGTATCTGAGATTGTGACTGCTTTGTGAAAGAAAAGTTATATTCTTGGGTTAATATTAGTAGGCCTACCTGTTTCAAGAGCTTCAAATTGTGTATGAATCGGGCCTGAGTTGGATCTGAAAATCGTCTGTTGGTTTGAAGCAGCTGATATAGCCGCACGGCTGATGTGGAGTTCACTTAACATCTGTTGTCTCTGACATTTTATGAACTTTGATTGTGGCGAGTATCTCACTTGCTATACTACAGTTTCTCGCTCTTATAGTTTTGACATTTAAATTAATTGAAGGCCAACATGTATAGAGCTCTGTACCGTTCCAGGCAACGAATATTACACTCTTGCGTGTCATAATGCAGAATACTTGAATAAGATACTGCACGTGGTTTAGATAAGGACAATTGTGATGGAAAGCCTTATTGCTTTTTTGTTAAAGGAACTTTGTTAACTGTGTAGCAGAGCAGTCTGAATTCATGCCTCGGACGCGCCATTCTGAGGTAACGCATTAATTCAAGATGTCCCGTGTCAGATTTGAGGTTTTCACGGCCGTCACTATGAAGAATGGGCCGTGTAGATCTTGTGTAAGCCGACATTTCTAGGGACGTATTACCTCCATGTTCAGGGTATAAAAAATCCGCGAGCGGCGAACCAACGTGAGCAGGTGACTGCAGACTGAGTTTGCCGAATGTAGTGCGGAGAGAATGTCTGTGCTCGTTGAACTGAGCAAGTTGCTGCAGCCGCATTCGATAGATCCTCGGTTCGAATCTCGTCCTGGAGACCGGCTACCATGACTGAAGTTTATCATGATTTTCCTCTATCCTTCCAGGCAAATTTCCAAATAGTACCTCCATTAGACCAAGATTGCTTCCTACCAAATACAAGGTTTGGATAAAAAGTGATGGCAACACCTCTATAGTTCTGAAATGACTTTATTACCTGAGGTAAACACACTTACATTCCTTCAATATAATCCACCCCACGTGTACCACCTTCTGCCAAATTTGTGGGAGGTGTCGTACACCATCAGCGCGTCCACTTCTGTTGATGTCCAGCAGTGACCGCCCTAGAGCACGAATAATCTCCTCTCCTGCGTTGCAACGTGTCCCTCGCAGTGGTTCTTTCATTTTGGCAAAGATATCATAATCGCACGGACTCATATCGGGTGAGTATGACGGATATTGCAGTATCTCCCATCGCCAGCGGCGAAGAAATTCCTTGACAGCGTCAGCAATATGAGCCCTTACATTGTCATGAAGGATGATGGGGTTTGTTGCCAACAAGTGTCGTCGCTTTCTCCTGAATGCTGGACGAAGATGATTACGCAGGAAATTGCAGTAGTAGGCAGCGCATACTGTCGGTGCAGTGTTGTGCAGTATCACTCCATCAGTGTCATACGCCACAATGAACATCGCCTTCACATTACTCTGTGTAGGGCGCACTTTCTTTGGACGAGGAGAGCCAGGATGCTTCCATTCATTTGATTGTCGCTTCAAGTGCGGTTCGTATGAGCGAGCCCAAGTTTCGTCCAGAGTGACGACCCATCCAAGAAAGTCGTCACCTTCCCTCTGGTAGCGGTCAAACAAGTCCTGTGCAACTGCATAACATTGCCATTGTTGCACCTCGGATATTATATGGGTGCAATTTCGCGGTATCCAAGAATGTCGTACAGAACGTGGAGCAAGATTTTGTGACATACGGCTACCGCAGCAGCTAACTTCCGCACAGCCCATCAACGATCGACATCCAGCAAAGAAGCAAGAAGCTGAATGTTGTGGTTGTCAACATTGGGTCGTCCTGAACGACGGCTGTCCTGAATGGCATCCCACCCTTCACGGAACAATTTCACCCACGTGCCACTGTGCGATATGGCAAAGTAGCATCACCACATGCTTCTCGCAGTCCCTGGTAACAGTTTTGTGCACTACGACCTCGTGCAACTTCAATTTTAATCAGGAGCGTTGTTCTTTTTTCGTAAAAATGTTGTTAGGGTCATTGAACTGGGCTCCTGCACTTCAAGACGATGCACAATGCAACTCAATGAAACACAACCAGAGTCACTCACTGCGCTACTTCAACTGAACTTCTGCTATCAGCTACAGACGGCGCTAGTGCCACCTGACGCACATCTTTTATGTTAGTGTTGCCATTGCTTTTTTATCCAACCCTTGTACTTTCCTTTTCTTCATTCTACATTTTGAAATTATATAATATGAGTTGCTGCCAGCGCCAGAAAACAAACCACAAAATGACTCTCATTACGTCGATCCGTCTGCAGTTGGTACCAACTCCATGGGCGGAGTCCTTCTTCAGAAGCCAACAGTCTCTTGTTCACTCAAGAACTTCCCAGCATTATATGACTCTTGAAGTTTCGTCACAGTGTTCACTACAGACGACCACTAGTCCCTCTTATTTCCAGCCCACACCCCTATCCCATTTCTCTAAGATTCATTTCAATAATATCCTCCGATCTGCGTGTTTGCCTACCAAATTTGTGCATGCTTTTTTCGCATGCGTGCTGCATTTCCCTGCCTATCATGTTCGCTTGACTTGATGGGTGTTTAGAGACGGCTCAGACGCCCTAATTTCTTACTATAATTTTGAGATTTAGCTTGAATATTATTTATCGACGGTCTCAGTTTCTCTATGTAGGGTGAAGATATGGTGATGATGATGATAATAATATTAGTAACGATAATTATTATTATTATTATTTTGTTTTGTATAAATGGTTCTTTCTTTAATGCAGTGGTAACTCTCAAGACTTGTATTCGGCAGATTCTAGAGTCAAATCTCGGCCCAGACTCCTGTTACAGTGCCTGAAGTTTTTCATGGCTTTCCTCAGACCCTCAAGGCAAATGCTGTGTCAGTACCTCGGTTAGAACAGGACAGCCTCCTTCCATATTCTTTCCATCTCATTTTTCAGCCACTCGACCATTCGACCCCATTTAATTTAGGTACTGACATCGTCGAAACAACAAACCACGAAGTAGTAAGAAAGAAAGAAATAAAATAGTACCGATTAGGTTAATTCAGGTTAGATACTCTAACCTTCTGTTATGGAATTGATCGGTTGGAATACTGGCCGAGACACCAGCTGTCCTGTTTGTGATTTTTCGTGGCTTCTTCAGTCACTCCAAGCGGGGGCAGTATCCCGTTTAAGCCACAACCATTTCCATTAAAATCATTTTAATGCTGTATTCGCTAATTATCCTACCATTCGACTCTGCAAAATGTGAAATTGGGAGCCCTGATATCTCAGTCGGTACAGCAACGGGCCACGGGCTTGACGGCCAAGGAGTCGGTGTTAGGTTCCCTGTAGTTGCAAGAGATTGTTCTCTATTCCGCAGCGTGTAGACCGGAGCTGGGGCTCACCCAACCTCCTATCGAATGGGTACCGAGGTCTCTTTCCCCAGGAAAAAGCGACAGGGGGTGATGCTGACCACTCACCTCCGTCTAGGATACCTTCATTCCCCTTTTATGTCTTATGGTGGTGTTACGTGACGCTTCATTGAGCACGGGGAAAAGTTCACCTTTAGTCTTACCTGTGATCCAAAGAATCAGTTACTGTACATCACGATTTGATATTTGTTACTTCTGTGCGAAAGATCATAAACTGAAGGTTGGTTACCGTGCAATTTTTTCGTCAACTTCATTACGGCGTATGTGTGTGTGCAAGGGAAAGTGTTCAAGAAAATGCATTTCAGAATTTGAATGGAAAACAATTGAAGATACGAGAATTATCCTCAGTATCCCTGTTCTCACAAACACAGTGACCAAGACTGACTTTTTTTATTTTTTTTTTCTTGCAAATGTTCTGATGTGTCGACACTGCACGCTTGATGAGGTGTCTCAGCAGTAATTATAACCGTATTTGATTTAATTACGAATATTTCCATACAGGTGGCATCATAAATTTTAACAAGGACGAGTTTTTATTAACTTTTCTTGGAGTCAGGTTAGTTCATATACTTAAAGCATTTCCTGAAATTGTCGTTGTATTCTATTTGTAGGCTGTCAGGTAGCCACAGACCGCCTCGCCTTCCCCTTTGGCAAGGTGGCTGCAACCTTGTGGCTCTGTACGAATGAAGTAATCAGTCGACTGTTACTGCTAATTCCTTCTTCTGCAACAAATTTGGCTCTGTTGTACTCTACATCGTGTTTCTATCAGTATACCCTCAGATTATTTCTGTTATTAGGGACCATATTTCTTATAGATGATCTGTAGGTTCTTATACTTTTTCTTCTACCCTGAAGATGGGGGCGATACGTTCCTCCGAAACGTCGGTTAACACCACATATACACGGTGCCAAATCCCAGAAGACTGCTTTCTTCATAGTCACCGCCGTGAAAGCCTCAAATCGTACACGATCTGTAGGTTGTTCTCATTACAATGTCAGAGAGATGTGTTTTCTGGGACTGTCCTTGCTTATGGGCGTTGCTAGGGAATGTAGCTCTGACTTATGTAGATTAACACTTCAGGGTCTTTAGCTCTTAATTTCTACGTAATATATTCAGTGTTTAATTATATTAAATGGTTCTATGTTTGAATGTCTTCCGTTGCTCGGTAAGGCCGAATTTAATTTAAATATTATTCTAAACTTCCTTTATAGATTTATGTATTTAACAGAATATCATAGTATTAGGTCTAGTCATAAACTGTTGATATATCGCTTTATAAACAAAGATTTTCTTAAACACATCATCAATGCGAGCGCATATAATTCACACATACTTAAGTTCATTAACGTTCGTTCTGCTGTTGAAGCTTATTTTTTATATTATTCCTGCATTCTTTGTCTATTTATAATCTCATTCCTGTTATACAAGTATATGTATTCTAAATTTAATTCTATCATATCCTGATTTATAAAGTGGGGAAGGTTTCAGGCAAATGATGAGGAAAGTACATTACAAATTATATCAGTAGGTTTATAAGCACGTTTTATTTTAAACTTGTCAAAACAGATTTTTTTTTTTACATAAAATGCTTCCTTGAAATTAAATTCAAGAAATTCTCTACGTTACTCTCTTGCCTCAGGTTCGTAACCCGAGAATCACATTAATTAAATAGTTCTATCCCCCGGCATTGGGCTGCTCTTCACATAGAATGACACTGTACAGTATTACGGCCACAGTTCGTGCAATTTATATGAAAACCATGTACACCAATTCCGCTCTTTCGCCCATCAATTCAGGTCGATGGAATTTCTTCCCTTTATTTTCCACACAAACAGTTGTTTAGCCAGAAAAGAACAAATACAATTGAAACTAACTGTCCCAGAGAAGTCTCTACAATAGTCCAGATTTATTACTGTAAACCGTCTTTCTCCAGGTCACTACAGTTCCTGCCAGACAGGAACATGCTGTCTCAGGAGACTGAAAACAAGCCCGCATCACTGTGTCCTGCTCCTTCAGCGTGGTGAAACATTAAAGAAAGACAAAACATGAGGAAGTGCTGAAATACGCTTTATAACCCACCCATCATAATTTTATTTTAGCTGTCTTTCGCGAGATTTTATTTTGTTCATATTAATTAGCCCTTAACATCCACCACTTGAAACATATATATATAATGCATACGGTTGGAGTTTAGTTGAGGGCTGCGGATAGGGAGCCAGGGTGTGTGCAGGGTATGGTCGGTGATAAGTCGCAGAGTTGTGAGATCGATGACTTAGAAGAACCCGTCTCCGGTAGGGTCGTTAACCCACGGATAATTGTTGGGGCATCGGACGCATGTCTGCAAATTGATGGTCTCTCCTGGCAGTTCCTTGCTCGTCAGTTTGCATGAATGAGGTACCCAGCAAGCAGGCTTTCCGTCCACTGTGCACTTCTCCCTCCAGGGCTCGAAATTCTTCACCTCAGAAATAGTTCTGGGATTCTGTATCCACTGGATAACCTGCGTCATCGTCACGAAGTAGACGTCATTGTGATTGGATAGGATTTCATCCACCCAATAGAGAAACGCGTCCAGGAACTCAGGGTTGTTCTTGAGCCAGGCTGCATGGAAGTAGAGACCCAATGGTGCGCGGTTCTTTTCGTAATGTCGATCAAAATTGTGGTTAAGGAAATTGTAAAACTGATCTCCTGTCAGGATGTTGGAACATGAGTCCACCATGGCACACCCAGGCAGATATTCGTCAAATTGAGGGTCCTCCCTACGATCGAGTTCGTTCATGACCATTTCCCATACGGCGTGGCTACGGGTGGGGCAGTGCTGCAGATTGCCGTGGCAACGGTGTGGCATGCGGAAGTACATGGTGTACGGCCACAACGGCGGGTTAGAGAGGGGAGCCGTGATGGTCGAGTCATACAGGAAGGCCTGTTCCTCCATCATGGTGAACTGGTTGTTACCACCAACGCGCAAGTACGGTGCGCGGACACCTACCACGCTGTTGTCCGTCAGGTTGGCGAATTTCTCGATGATGATTCTTGTGCCTGCCATTTCCTTGGCCCAGTCGTCAACGGTGGCGTTGCTCCAGAACTGCTCGTCGTCATTGTGCCTGAAGTCAATGAATGCCTGTTTTTAGGTTCGAATTTGAAGCTTGTTGTTGTTTACATGCAGACATGCTTCCACTTAGAAGAAAATGAACTGTAATGCATTTACTACAATCTGGTATAAAACTGTGTATGTTTTCAAATAAAGTCCATTAATTGCCAAATAATAATTTCGTACCAGTTCTTTACAGCATTAGCTTACTTACTTTAGTGAATGTATGTAACTTGTTATTCTTAAAGTTTGAAAACTAAATAAGTTGCCGGAGACTTAACACTCCATCAATATTGGAGGTTACAAAAGTTACCACTCTTTGGAGTTATTGATTTATGCAGATTATTTTGCAACGAATTGGTTACCACACTTCTAATTTTATAACTTACTCGTACGGTCATATGCTGTGAGTACCAGTTCTACTGCAACTAACATTAATAACTTCAGTGGTGGCAAAATTAGCCGCTTAGCATAGAGCAGTAACCAAGAATGCAGGTTGCAACAGATGTATATCTACAATGGTTTCTGTATTTGTCCGAAAATCGCGACTTTCATTCTATCCTGTCTATATTTCAACCTTGCCTTTGTGATTTAGTCCCTGGTGGCCAGTGACCCAATGGCATTGATCGGAAGGAATTAATACAGTTGTTTCCTCAGGAGATAAACTTACTCAGAACTTCCAGATCCTCGCCGATTTCCAGTTCCACTTGATACAAACAAACAAAAAAATCGTCGGTTATGAGCCGGAATGTTGTAAGTGACGTTTTAAATCAGTGTAAAAATGTATCAAGACAAAAGTCGCTCCACCATGAAGATCTGTCTGCTTATGCACAAGACTGGTTTTCATCTTGCGACACCTTTGCACTGAGATTCAGCGTCATTTACGATACTCGGACTCATAAGCAACGAAGTTGCTGAATTATTACTTTGGAAGATGAGATAATTTAGGATAGCTTGTTTAGTTTCTTCTAGCAATGCAGAAATAGAAACCACTGTTAGTTTATTTACCCATGCAACCCATGCATTCTTTCACTCTCCGTCCGTCCTCTCGTCTATCCAGTCTCCACTCATTCGTCCATCCTTGCAGATGACAGAGTTAATATTGTATTATGTGAGAGACAGTACCACAAAGCGACCGTATGTTGGCGAGTTTTAGAATGAACACAAGACTGACAAATAGGCCTAGTCACTTTTAGGTATAACTAGCAGCAAGTGAGACTGGTGGCGGAAAAAAAAATATATATATATATAACGAAAACAATTCACGTGCAACAACGTATTCAAATTCAACGCTAAACAGAATCAACCTGCATTTTACTTTCTTCGTCAGCGTAGCTCACTTAACCTCGGTGGGTGCCTTGTAATGACTTGAACTCACGTGATGGAATGGACAGCAATCTCATGTCCCTTTCGGTGCGTTTCTTGCACGGCGGAATAGTTGGTATACTTGTGTGAGACGAAGAAGGTGGCCTTGATGTCACAGCCGTTGGGATTCTTGCGATTTCCGTTGAAGATGTCCTTATACAGCTGAATGTTATTGTTGTTGATGGCATCATCGAATGTGATGGTGATCATCTGTGGGACATCCTTCGCTGGAAGATCTCCAGGGATCGCAGTGCCATCCTCGGAGCAGAAACAGTCCGGCAGGACGCACACTGCCGGATCGCAGGGCGGAGCGCGGTTCGGGTCGTTGTCGTTATCTGAACAAGACAAGGAGAGTTAGCTGGGTGGGGCACCTACCTTCAAGCTATACGTCAGCTTTCCCTTTCAGCGTAGCATACGTCAGGTGTTTCAAAACACGCTCAGAAATTTAACAAACCGTTATTGTCTGTTTCATGTGGTTAAGCCATACTGTCACGCTACAAGACTGATGGAAGCCGAAGCCGCAGTAACTGTGTGAACCAACCGGTGAATTGAGAACATCTCGATCTATGGCCCCATACATGCCCTTACCCAGGCACGAGAACCGAACACTTTCGGTGGGGATTTCCAAAGTTAAGAAAGCCAAAGCAGGGCACCTGACATTCTGGGCTTGAGTTGAAATTAGAGATATTTAACTTCGTGATTACTGGGGCATGCGGTATGGTGGCTGGTTGAGGCACTATGCTACAGGCCAGAAGATAGCAAGTTCGATTCCCGATGAGGGCATTAGTCCTACTCCTTACAGTTGCCCAAGACCCTGGGATCGAGTCAGCCTCTAACAAAAATGAGTACCAAGAATCTTCATGGGGTTGAAGGGCGGCCGGCGCGTAAGACTGACAGTCTCACCACCATCTCTGATATGATTATCTAGAAAATGTCTCAGATTCCTATGGGCCTTCACGGCCTTTTACAGGGAGAAACTTCGAGATTACAACAATATACATGCCTTAAACTTACAAGGACTGCATTATTCTAAATAATGTATAAAATTCCAGCTTCTTACCTCACAAGAAATATATTACGTCTCCTTGAAAGGATAAATCTGTAAATTTTGTTTAAAGAAACAAACGCTGTTTATTATTAGAACCATTCAAATCACACAAACACAGTCTGTTGGCAAAATGCGGAGTTTTATCGTTGCCGATGTTGGAATTCAATACATATATAGTCTGAAACTCTGATTTTCTTCTACAGATATTCAAAGAAATGTTTGATTGGTGCCAAGTTAGATTTTTTTAGCTATTGAAGGTATAAAATAACATGCCGCATATGTGTTTTGGCGGTCCCTTTGCAGTTGCTAATTTCTTTTAACCCTTGGGCTTGGCTTGGAGTCAAACCTGGACGGTTATTGATGCCGTTGTGCCGACTTTAATTTGTGCTGCACAGCATGCAGCATTTTATTAGAAGACGTACGTGTATGCAGGTTCATTTATTTTGAGTCACTCTGTGTTCAAAGATGAAATGTGGAAATGAAACACCTTTACTTTCATTAACTGTCTGTTCAGCAATTGTGTGATGTCATTGGGAATTATACATTTCAAAATAAATTCGAAGAATATAACATGACTTAGGCACGACATAGGTGGCGCCATAGCTCAAGCGCTTAGTCACTGGCTTCCCACCGCGGCGGCCCGGGTTCGATCCCGCTTCTTGTCAAGTGGGATTTGTGGTGGACAAAGTGGCGCTGGGGCAGGTTTTCTCCGAGTACTTCGGTTTCCCCTGCCAATCTTCATTCCACCAATTGCTCCACAATCACACTCACCTATCATCTGGGGCTGGTACAATAGGCCAGAAATGGTCGCAGTACAAGGGACTCAGTCCCACCCCACTAGCAAGAAAAAAAAATAGGCACGACATAATCCAAGGATTAATGTAGGAATGCAAGTGAATATGCGACAACTGATCAACCGTATGTATCTGGAATGTATTTGAAAGTAGCTTGAACATGCCTTGAACAGAAACGAAATTCTTGCCAAGAACCGCCCAGACCACACCCATACTATTTAGTGTTTGTGACCTGAACAACATCTCGAAAGTTATTTGACACCTGAATGCGATGCAGGCGGTAGGTACGGTGCAAAACAGACCCAGTAGAAAGCGAGACTGTCGCATCTTCGCGGCGCCAGAAGTTAATATTTTCACCTTGTGAATGTCCCTGCAGTTAGAGCATGTTTATGTTTATACGTAGTTTCCACTACAGTGGCTTTGTTTTACGTGTGTATTCGTTGTAATCTAAGATTAGTATCTGAGCATGCATTTAAGAAAATATTAAAACTTGTCACTACTTACCACAGGTGTTTTCGTCCGAACCATCGGCACAGTCTTTCTCACCATTACAGAAGAGACCACGCTCCACACAGTTGCCGTCGCCACAAGCCAAAGAGCCTTCCTGTAATTTGATGAGCCCCTTACTGTTTTACCAAAGCAATACCGGAAGAGGAACTTTAGTAAAGTCGCGTTAACTTTAACATGCAGTGTGGGGTCTCTGTCTTGAGTATTCACTCTCGATCTTAATATACACGTCCATTCTGTTTAAAAATTAACATTAGAGAATGTATAATTGCAATACCTGAGTAGGAAAAACGACTGATTAGTTTCATGATAACTGGTTTTCAATTCCCGGTGAGAACTAGTCAGAATAGTTTTGTATTCGTCATCACATCGGCCCTTCCTGCCACATATTCACTGGTCACTTGGAGAACTTTCTCCGAGGGCGAGACGGCTGAACTATGTATCTGACTATTCATCTACATGTAGTTATGACTGCAATGTACTTTCATGTCCTCAGAACACATTAAAAATATTTGACTTAGGGACAGAGACAATTTTTCCTTATAACGTCAATAATTATTTTATTAGAGATAATATATATTCATATCATTATGATATCAGTTAACATATTTGCCATGTTTTCATGACAATTTCTGACATGTGAAGGAGTGGGAATTGTTGAAGTGCCTTCCCGATAACCGATCTTCGTACTGGCAGTGTTACAAAGATAAATCCATGGATGTAAATAATGTTTTGCTTAATTTCGTTAGATTAGCATAAATCATTTAAGTCGAGTTATGCTCTTCTTCAGTACTGAGTCATATTCCTTCAGCTGCCTTCTACATTAATTTATGCAGAAAATTGCTGTCCCAAATTTTTTTATAAGTTAGTGGAACTATACTGAGACTGTCGTAATTTAGTCTAGTCAGTGTCCATTGTTTGGTTATGTATGGTCAGGAAGTTCTGGAAATGTCCTTTCTCGGATGGTAGGTTTATGTGCCCTATAATGCCTTCCAAAGTTAATCTGTGTTAGTGAACTAAGGGATAAATGCGGACGTGACTTCTTTACACGAGAAGAGACTGCACGTCCCAATGGGAAATAGCAACAAGCAGTTAGTCGCCCAAAGTCACATGTCACAAGAAGATGTAAAGACATTACAGAACAGACAGAACGAATTATTACCAGAAAAGAAGGCGAAAGAAAGTGTCATTTTACCTGCAGGTGGAGAATAGGCAGCGTTCGTGATGGTACGTTTTTCCAATAACATTTTTATAGATGCAAATGTGGACATATATAAAGTTCAGTTCTGTCTTCAATATTTCGAAGCCTCGTGGAAATATTTTTATTTTATGATAATAAACTATTGGGGCACGCAGTAGCATAGTTGGTTGAGGTACTATGCTATAAGCCGAAAGGTCACGGGTACGACTCCCGATGAGGTGGACTTTTTTTTTTTCAATTTACCTAATCCTTCCAGCCGCACTATGGCCCTGGGGTCGACACAGCCTCTAACAGAAATCAGTACCAAGAATCTTCCTGGGGGGGGGGAGATAAAGGGCGGCCGGCGCGTAAGGCTGACAACCTTACCGCCGTCTATGAGCCTATTGTCTAGAGAAAATATGGAGCCTCGACGTCTCACAACCCTGTTGGCCTTCAAGGCCTCTTACAGGAGTAGCTTTAACTTTTTGTTTTATTAAGCCATTGCCACTACCATATAGAGCTACATTTTTAAAGATTATGTAAAAGCAAACTGTACGTACCGTGCAAAGAGGTTCATCGGTGTAGAGCAGAGGCTTAACTTTGCGTTCCTTATTTTTGAGTTTGCAGTTCTTAACTGCATCCTTCCAGTCACATGTCTGCTTCTCGATATCGAAATACAGACCTGCCGGACATCGGATAGCTTGCAGGCCCTAGGGAGAATAACGTTTACAAGTCGTAATATGGCACATGTAGAAGCAGATCTTAAGGCCATCACTGAAGAAAATGTCATGGACATACCGATGATGTGCACTGAATTACGTCTCTGCAATTATCACCTTCTCCTGCCACGAGTCGGAACCATTCTCCAGCATCTTTGTCTTTACATAGTTCTGTTTCAAAGCTCTCCTCCTTTTTGTTTGTTTCTTCTTGTCGCTTCACCCTCTTTACGAATTGGTTGAGGACCCCCTGACTGGTGGAGCCGGTCACTGTTCGCAGAAAATCGTCAGTTACAATCAGGATAACAGAAGAGTCGGAATACACGTACTTCTGGGTTTCGTGGTGCAGTGCTTATTCCAGCCAAGTGCTGAGTCAGACATGAAGTAAAAGGTAAGGTGAAGTCATAATGAATTAAGCACCAAGTCATGAATACGTTGTGGGAGTGGAAGTATAACTCCACCATTCTTGACCTCGGCACTAGATGGCGGTCAGTTGTCGGCTTCACGCCCTGACCGCTTTAGCCCCGGGGAAAGAGCGTACGGAGCGCATTGGATAGGAAGTTGGGTGGGCCACAGAGCCGGTCTGGACGCCGTGGAATAGAGAAAAATCTGTTTCCTCTGCCAGCGATCGAACCCCGGACGTCGAGCCCGTAGTCTGTCGCTATACCGACTGAGCTATCCTGGCTCCTCTGAGATTAACTAAAAGCTATGAATTATTATTTTAATATGTGGGCTGGTTCAGCCTATCGCTCACCTGAGTGGTCGTGACAGATAAGTATGAAACACTGATGAAATGATAACTTACAGGCAAAATCCAAAGTACTCGGAGTGAAGTCCATCCCATTGCAAATTAATCAGCACAAAACGCACAGGAATGTAATAGTTGTAGAACAGAATTTCTACAGAACAGACAGTATTGCTTTTCTAAGATAATCGGTAGCTCGACCAAGACTCAAATCTGGAACCTCCGTAATGCAGGTCTAGAGCGTCACCACTGCGCCCACTTGTTCGTTGCGAATAAGACTCTTTAATTGTTTTTGTATTCTTGTTCTAATGGTCCAGTGTGTACTAAGCAAATAAACTCTAATGAATTCTCATTCATTTATATTATGACGTCACGGCTGAAAGCCAGAATACTGGAGCCAATGCCAGACGTCCGTTGATGAGCAACGTCTAAGTAAACATTAGTTTCTGTTAAAACAGATAGCAACAAACGAGTCGCTAGCAGGTAAGAATTTGCTAAACACAAGAGTCCAGCGACAATCGACAGGACAACAGAGGACAATTAACCGTTCGACGTAGTGTTTTCTATGCGGGCCGCCTAGCAGTTACAAAGGAGCAGAGATCCAGAATTCGAGAGACTAGAGACCAGTCTGTGATTCAGACAACAGTGAGAGATTCCTGGTAGAGATTCGTCAAACATACGTCCTTAAGAAGGAGTTCAATGTGTGAGCTGTTATAATCAACTGTAATTGTAAAGAAGAGCAAATAAATCCAATCATCAGGTCCAGAAGAACCCACAATTATTCGTCACGCTAAGTTTACTACGCGTCTGTCTTATGCAAACTGACCATCCTTTTCATCACTTAGATGAGTAGGTGGGGTAGCTAGCAGGAATTGAAAAGATTAAATGCTTATATTACCATTTACTCGCCGTACTGACTCTAATATAATAATGATAATAAAAAGATATTTTGCAGATTTTATAAGCCTACATTTGTCCCCTTTGTAGAAAGAAAGAAAGTAAGCTAACAGAACGAAGACTGTCACATGCTGTACGCTTTTATCTACTACACAATTGTAATATTACGGTAAATTCACCAAAATTTGGTTAGCGTGGTTTCTCAGGAAGTAAGGACAGCACTGCGGTGGTGGCCACAAAACGTTACACTTCCTATCCAACCAATTTCTCAGGAGCGGTGGAACGGACGTTTAAGCAGCACCCTTGCTTTGCTGTTAATGTGCGTTTTTCTGTCAATTCTGATGCAATATTGTCGCTTGGATGGCTAAAGGTTCGAGACCATACCTGAATTTTAACTTGCACGTCCTTTATATGAAGTCACGTAATTACACATTATAACATGTATATAATGTGAAGAAAGCAGTCTGTTACACCTGCTCACGCTGGTTCGTTCGCGGATTTCATCTTGTCTTCTACCTTGAAGATGGAGGCATTACGTTCCTCCGAAACGTCGGTTAACACAATATCTACACGGCGCTACATCCTATAAGACTGCTTTCTTCATAGTCACCGCCGTGAAAACCTCACCTCTTAAATGTATATAATGTGTTTCCCTCGCTTCCAAAAGCTTCTATGCTCCGTTATGCTGCCGTGGTTGCATTAGCACTGGGATGTCTAATTTCGGAGACTTAACATGGTCGCTTCTTTCAAGGACCTAAAATTAGGAATTTTATTTCATGTAGTCTTTGTGTCTTATTTATTCGTAGCTTGTGCGAATGTTGCACTCGAAATGGCTTTCCTCATATGAGGACGTAATTAATATTAACTTCTATTCAAACTATGTGATTATTTTGCATATATTTATGGATTAACTTTTTTTCATATAAGGATATTTCTTCTTTATATAGAATAAGAATTTTCTGCGTAATGTGGACCTATGCTTCTTCGCTCCCCCCATCTTATTATTGTTTTTTTATAAATTACATTTCTTAAGAAATTATGTTACCTCCACGAAATGAGAAACCACCCAATCCGAAATTGGGCTACCAATTTCGTAGACCCATCTTTTTGCAACTTTATGTTTTTATTTAGTTTCTGCATCTATGCTGCATTTGAGATCAAAATGAGTACTATTTTCTTTATTGCTAGTGGGGTGGGACTAAATCCCTTGTACTGCTTCCACTTCTGGCCTATTATACCAGCCCCAGATGATAGGTGAGGGTGACTGTAGAGCAATTCGTGGAATTAAGATTGGCAGGGGAAACCGAAGTACTCGGAGATAACCTGCTCCAGCGCCACTTTGTCCACCACAAATCCCACTTGACCAGACCTGGGATCGAACCGGGCCGCCGCGATGGGAAGCCAGCGACTAACCGCTTGAGCTATGGCGCGCCCATAAAATAAGTACTAACTTTCATACTAGATATGTTCTAAAGGTTCACAATTCTACAAACAGAAAAAATGTTCCGACCGCCTCTGTGGTCTACTGGTCAGGGTTCCTGGCTATAGATCCAGAGGTCCCGGGTTCGATTCCAGGCGCTACCAGATTTTATGAGTAGTTAGTCTGGAAGGGGTTCACTCAGCCTCGTGAGGATAACTGAGGAGCTATTTCAAGGATACAGCGGCTCCGGTCTAGAAAACCGAGATTAACATCCCTGGCTATCCGTTGCGCTGACTACGTGACATCTATCCGCAAAAGTTGACACTAACTTCGCCGATAAGCGGCTGTCGTTCGGTCGGTACAGTTCTCTTGCGGACTACAGTCCACAGAGTTTGTTGGTTTTTTTTTGTTATTTGACTATTAATTTGAAAGTGAACTTTTCAAACAAAATACAATCTCAACAGAACATTTTGTTATGTGCCCTACCAGAAATCAAAATTCTGTTTATTCTTTAATGTGACGTCAGTTATGGAGAAAACGTTACTACGAAGACATTAGTTTGGCTCTGATGTAACTGAATATTAGAATATAAAATAATCCTGCAGGAATTTATTAGGAGTTCTTGGAAGCGCGTTGCATCCATCATAAGGGAGAGGCGTTTCTGTTTGTACTCAGGTGTTGCGCAATTTTCAGCTTCTACGTATTACATATTAATTAGTTCATTTCTTCAGGTTGAAATCGTATATGGAATTCAATGCAAGTTATGTATGTACGAGTATATGTTAGTCTGAAAATGTAAAGCAACATCTGAGAGTGCGAGAAGATGGCGCAACATATTTCTTCACGTCGTAGCACAGGGACGACGTTATCTTTTGTAACAATGAAAGGATTGAGAAGTTACGAAAAATGACGTTGCTTTAAGTAGATATATTTATATTTTAACCCGGATGTATGTTAAAATTAGCTTAGCACGGCTGCAGATACAACTTTATGCAAATACCGAAGAGGTCTACCCCTAAGTATTTCTTTGTTATATGTGAAACTGTACTGTTATGAGCCCAGTTACTTAAGATGTTGAAGTTCTGTGATTCCAGCTTGTATTTCACTTGTCTTGCATTTAAGTCTCGAAAGCAGTTGAGTTCTTAGATTATCGATTATATGTAAATATGACAGGGATATTGTGTGTCAGTGAAATTGGAATTGAAATGGACAATATGCATTTTGGAACATTTTGAAGTCTTTTTCAGAAATTATTAAATTTGTAACAGCTCTCATGTAACCCATAGTCACTGATGTGTGTGATAGTTCTCCTTCTCTGTACTCTGCGGCACTGTGTAAACAACGGTGGGTCGGTCCTCGTAAGCGAATGCAGCACAAAGCCACAAAATGAAACGTAAAGCTAAGACATAGGCAAGAATGCAGCTACCACATTGAATGCTTTTTCATTATTAAATGCAATTTTATTTTCTTAGAAGTAATATGATTTCCATGGTATTTAGCGATGTTATTAATTATAGAATTTTTAATTTATGGAACCGTACTAGTCTGGCTCAGGATAGGGACCAGTAGCAGGTATTTTTGGGAAAAATGCTGAATCTTCAGGAACCGGGACAGCGCAGTCGGTATAGCGACTGGCTACGGGCTGGACGAACGAGGGGTCGGAGTTGGAGTCCCGGTAGGATCAAGAATTTTCTGTTCTGCACTTCTTCCAGAAGGGCTCTGGGGTCCACCCAACCTTCTATCCAATGGGTACCGTAGGCTCTTTCCCCCGGGGTAAAGCGGAAGTGGTGTGAAGCTGACCACTCGCCTCCAGCTAGTGCCGAGGTCAAGAAAATGTGGATTTATACATCTACTCCCCCATACGTCTTCGTGGCGTAGTGCTTAATTAGTTAAGCACAGAGACAACTTTCCACTGAACCTACAAAAGCCTCGTAATTTCCTGTTAAACAGCTATTGGCTTCTCGAAAAGTCTCTGATCCATGGAGTTAGATGGAGGTTGCGTAACGATAATAACGGATTGAAAGGGTCAGGAGAAGAAGCAGTTGTGGCCTATTTCAGTATCTCAAATCTTTTGCGTGGAAGATGTGAGCAGAACAACGGAAAAGTTACGAAAGGGTAGCCGCTGTCACTGCCAGAATTCGAAAGAGGTACTTATGATATGAATGACGCATTTCAGCTAAATTTGTTTGTTCATACTCGTTAGTTTCC